GTGTCACCTATTGTAGCCAACCTTTACATGGAGGAAGTGGAGAGAAAGGCTGTTGGCTCTTTCAAAGGAAGAGTACCCAGCCACTGGTACAGATATGTAGACGACACCTGGGTCAAAATCAAGACACAAGAAGTGGAATCCTTCACTGCGCACATTAACGCTGTGGATAAAAACATCAAGTTCACCAGGGAAGACACAAAGGACGACTGTTTGCCTTTCCTGGATTGCGCCGTGCACATTGAAGAGAACGGCAACCTCAACATCGAAGTTTACCGGAAGCCCACACACACGGACCAGTACCTCCTCTTTGACTCCCATCACCCTCTGGAGCACAACCTTGGAGTAATTAGGACCCTACACCACCGGGCAGAACATGTTCCCTCTAAGCCTGAAGGAAAAAAGAAGGAATACGCATATGTAAAGGAAACACTCAAAACGTGCGGCTATCCTAAATGGGCGTTCATAAAGTCAGCAAAGAGGCACAGGAAAGAAGACCAGACACCAGCGAGGGAGGATAAGAAGGACAGACGCAACAACATTGTCATCCCCTATGTAGCCGGTGTATCAGAGAAACTCAGGAGAGTTTTCTCCAAGCACAACATCCCAGTGTATTTCAGACCCAGCAACACGCTCAGACAGAAACTGGTTCACCCGAAAGACAAAACCCCAAAACACAAACTTAACAATGTGGTGTATGCTGTACAGTGCAGCGAGGAATGCCCAGACCTCTACATCGGAGAGACCAAACAACCACTTCACAAGCGCATGGCACAACACAGAAGAGCCACCTCCACAGGACCAGACTCAGCAGTCCATCTGCATCTAAAGGTCAAAGGTCACTCTTTCGAGGATGCCAATGTTCACATTTTGGACAGAGAGGACAGATGGTTTGAAAGAGGAGTGAAAGAAGCTTCTATGTCCACTGTGAGCGACCATCTTTGAACAGAGGCGGGGTTTACGACACCAACTCTCTGCCATCTATAATCCAGTTTTGAGATCCCTCCCCAGACGCCTTAACACCCACTCACATCCTGGGCCATCTGACCTCAGGAAATCACATGATAAGGTGGGGCCAGGTTTCACAATGAGCTCACCCGAAACTCTGGCTGATTGGGACCCACACCCAGTTTCACACCTTGGCTCAGGCGATTAGAGGATCATCAGGGGGTCCTTTTGTCCCTCTGTGGGGGGAAACTCCCACTAGGTTTATATCTGGGACTCTCCACCATTTGACCTTAGAACTGAAGAAGCTTCTCGGATGAGAGGTGAAACGTCTTCAAGTAACTTAAAGAAGTCCAGACGCTTTTCTTTGCAAGCTCCTTTGACTACGATGACCTAGATGACTGAGATCTCTGGGTTTCTGGACTCTGAGGTGCTGGTCTCAGTACTGACGTTACTGGTCTTATTATTGGAGGAAACAATCAGGAGTAGTGATCATCACAGGTCAACACTTCTGCTTTGGTGTGTGTTTCTGTGTGTGTGCGTGTTTGTGTAACTGAGTGGGAGGGTGTGTGTATTAACCTGCCTCACATTTGGAAGGTGGAGCTCCTGAACGATGTTAATCTCTTCCTCTAATTAAGTGAAGCAGCCGAGCGCACAGACTGCGGCTGGATGGAAACGAGCTGCTCCTCCTCCTCCTCCTCTTCGGCACCCTAATGAGCTTCATTTCATCAAATCTGTTCCAGTTGTTTCCTGTTTGTGTACCTGTCAGTGTTCCTTCACCAACACTGATCATGATGATGAAGAGGATCAAGCAACAGCTGTCAGAGCAGCGTTCATCCACGTCACACTCTTCATCAGAATGAAGATATCGTTCCTTCCTGTCATCGTGGCGTTTCACCGCCTCCTTCTGCATCAGAGCGTCTGTCCGGCAGCTGCACCACTTCCTGTTTCCTGTACTAACCATCAAACCACAGCAGAGTCTGTAAGGACGGCAAGGTTTATCTACACAGAGCTGTTACAAAACACACACACACTGTGTGTACACACACACACACAGAAACACACACACACTAACACACACACACACACACACACACACAGAAACACACACACACACACACTGTGTGTACACACACACACACAGAAACACACACACACTAACACACACACACACACACACACACACAGAAACACACACACACACACACTGTGTGTACACACACACACAGAAACACACACACACACACACAGAAACACACACACACACACACACACACACACACACACACACACACACACACACACACACACACACACAGAAACACACACTCACACACACACACACACACACACACACACACACACACACATACACAAACACACTCTGACACAGTGTGTGTGCTGGTTTCTGCACACATGTTCACCTCACACACGCATGCGTGACCTAAAGTAGACTAAAATAGAATAGAAAGTCTGTGTGAAGATGAGTGGAGCAGAGGGATGAAATGAGAGTCCAGATGTTGGTCTCACAGATGTGCTTTAGGTGCACAGTGACATGAAGATGGAACATGGTGATTGGCTGATTGCTGTCACACGGTGCTGAGGTTGGTGTGAGTCCAGCTGATAAAGACTAATAAAGACTTTACAAAGGCGATAAATAGCTCCATGACTCAGCTGATCAGTAACATCCAATCACATTTAAACTGAGGCCCGCTTGTCTCCGTGGAAACCTCCCGCAGCAGGCCGATGGAGCTCCTCAGCTGTGGAGGATTGATCCTCCCACTCTGACCCTCTGGCTCTGCAAGGAACACCTTAGCCTGTGACAGCTGCTAATCTGTGGCTGCTCCACCCACACAGACCTCCACCCAGCTGGATTCACCTGCTCATGCTTCCCTACACTTTATCTGCAGGAAACAGACTCCTCCACCTCCACCCACAGCCTGCTGCAGGACTTCTCACGGGCTCCAGACCTGCAGGTGAGATCATTATTTCATTATTTCAGAGATAACACAGAGTTCATCTCACTCCACCTGCAGCACAGCAGCTGCTCCGTCACCTCCACCTTCACTCTTCTGCTCTGAATTAAACTCGTTCTGGATGTGACCCGGGTTACCTGTTCGTCCCAATATCAGGTAAGTGTGGTACAATTCAAAAAGTCCTCCAAAAGACACAAACACAAAGCAGTGAACAACCCGCTGGACTCGTCTGCATGCAGGAGGTGTTGATGCAGCAGACACAGCCTGAGACACACTCACGAGTTTACCCAGTGTAAACGGTCCTAACCAAGTTACAGCGACAGCACTCCACAGCCTGCTAACATGGACACTAGGGCTGCCACGATTAGTCGACTAGTCACGATTACGTCGACTATCAAAATCGTCGACGACTGATTTAATAGTCGACGCGTCGTTTGAAGCTTTGTAAGATCCCAAAAGACGCAGGAATAAGTAGCAGGATTTAAGAGTGTAATAACGGACTGAAACAGAAGATGGCAGCACTGCATGTACAAGGATGCCAGCTGCTGTTAAACCCCGAAGAAGAAGAAGCTGTGTCCCAGAATTCATAGCGCGGCCCAGCTCAGTTTCCAACAATGGCGGCAGCTAGTTAGTTTTAATGTTACTCTTATTATTCTTTCTGGGTCACAAAATAAACGTTTAACATATTTTCAGGCGAGAATGTTGCTGTGTAAACCTCAAATATCTGCTCAGTTTATCAGGACACCACATATTTTCAAAAGCGCTCCGACGTTTTCGGAGACGTCTGTTACCCACTAGCTCGATAGCTAGGCGGGGGCTAGGTCACTAGAGCCGTGAGAACACCGGACTCCCGGCAAATCGTTTTCAAACCCACCGCCGTCTTTCGCTACTCAGGTTAAACATGATATATGAGTCACTTAGATAACTTAAACATGTTATTATTTGGCTTTTTTCAGTATTTTATTTGTTCCTGAGTAAATCGGTTTGGCTGAGATTAAAGTTATAGTTTTTACACAGCTGAATAAACGTCAAGCAGACAGCTGATTATCAGAAGTGTGAGATGCTCGAGAATTTACTCCGGTGTCCTGTTATATTTTAGATAGCAAGGAGTTTATTAAACTTCACCGAAACAATCTGCAAATGTCATTAAAATTTGATAAACTATCATCTTGTCTTTATTTTTAGTTAGCACCTGAAACACTTAAAGCTGTAAGCTAATGATCGTTATATAAGAGCAGATGCTGCTGGTGCAATAAGCTGTTCGTTTTACTCCAATGGATGACGATCTGATTAGTCGACTAATCGCAAAAATAATCGGTGACTAGTCGACTATCAAAATAATTGTTTGTGGCAGCCCTAATTGTCTTACAGCTAAAACGCAGCAGCATCCGGCTGCCTTCCTGCATGTCTTAGAAATGATTTTCAGGTTTCACTGAGTCTTCAGAGCCGGTGTGCTGGCCTCAGGTGAGCCAGCTTCAGGCCTCAGATGGGTTTCCATCAGGATCTGAACGAGCTATCAGAGGGGATAAAACCTGTGATACGTGGTGCGTTCACTTGTCCTGTTTTAGCTCTGAAATATTGGCGTTGTGTCATATTCCCGTCTTAAGCACCCTGAATGCATCATCTTTTATCTGGAAACACGTCTACAGGCCTCAGCAAGGTTAAAGGTCACAGCCTCGACAGCACGGCTTAGGTTTGAAAAGCTGCGTCTGAGCAAAGCAGCAGACTTCCGAGCTTTTTAATTAACATCTAAACTCCTCTCTTATTCATGAATGGTAACCTGACAGTAAACGTCCAATCAGAAATCAGCTTTCGTTTGAATCTAGGACCAGCTGGATTCGAGACATGAACAGCTCATCGTCGCTGTTTGAGCAAACAGTCGTAACACAAAGCAAATGTTTCTTTTACTGTTTTTGTCCTTCTGATCTAAAATGTTCTGTTTGTCGTTGTTCAGTGATAATAGAAAGAAGTGGAAACAGCAATGCAACATACCAACGCAGCCCCAATGCAACCAAACATCTGGAACATCGATGCCGCTGATGCTACCAGAGTGGAACTTTCATTATTACCTGCACGTCAAAGCGTTCTTCAACCAAACCTGGTCTCCGAGGTCCAAAATAATTGTGTTTGTCCCTTACAAAGAAAGTACGTCAGCATGAGCGTCTTCTGGGTTTCACACTGGTGCATTTGGATTTAAGTGTGTCCCATAATCCAGATCAGGCTTTGATTGAACTAAAATCTCTGGACTGGTTGAATCTTTACCAAAAGGTGACCGCGTGTTTTCTTCTGTTTACAAGCTAAATTAGGTCCTCCAGAGGTCTCACTGGTCGGATATGAAAACTACATCCAGATCAACATTTCACTGCCTTGGCCCGATGACCTGCCAAACTTTCCCAGTATCCAGCATTATAACGGCTTCAGAGTCTCATTTCGGATCGGAACCGATGGAGAAATCCAGGTAAGACATCCATTTCATCCCAACATCAGCGTGCAGATTTAGACCTCAGCTGGTATCTTCATTCTAGAGTTCCTTTAAACCTGTTTGAGGCTTCAGTCACACAGGCCTACAGACCATCCTGTCTCTGAGCCAGCGGTCGCTGACTGGTGTCCAGGTGCGGCTGTAAAACACATATAGTACATATACGATATAAAAATGGAAATGCAGCCAATCACACAAAGGTGCAGATTTGGCTTAAAATAACCTGGTTGCACAAATATGCACACCCTTAAACTAATACCTTGTTGCAGCACCTTTGCCTTTTATCACTCTAATCAGTCTTTTTGGGTAGGAACCTATCAGCATGGCACATCTTGTGTACAGCGTCTCTTTATGTCTGTCTCCACGTTGGTTGAGTGTGGAGTGAGTGCATATGAGAGCATGAGGGTGGGAATGGATGTTTGTGTCTGTGTGTGCCTGTATGTCTGTGTCTATATGTCAGGTTGGGTATCAGACGCCACCTCTCTGGGGACACCTCAGGCCCTCCAAGGTTTGGAGGCCTATCTCCACCCACCACCACGTCCCCTGCCGGTGGCGGACTCCCTCAGGTGTCGGTGTGTTGGTGGTTCTTTGTGTCTGGGGGTGGGCGTCCGGGTACACACCGGCTCACTCCTTGGCGGCCGCTTGTCGGGCCTGGGGCCTGGGGCTCGCTCGGGCCCCTTTGGAGGTGGGGTGCCCCCGGCCTCTCGGCCTAGGGCTCGGTCACTCAGGCGCAGCTGGGGGCCGGCGGAGCTCACGGGCGCGTCACTGCAACTCCCCCTGACTTCTGCTCCGCGGCTGCTGGGCGAGCCCTCATCTGGGACTCTCCTCAGCTCTTACTGGGACAGTGGCGCGGCTGCCCCTCTGTTGGTCTTCCATGGTCTCTTGTGTTCTGGGGGCCTCTGGATGTCTGGAGTTTTGATCTCCTCCATACCCGCTTCACACCCTGGAGGACGGGGCTGTGGCCCCCCCACACTCCCTAGCAGATCATTACATGGAGAAACCTTTGGAATGCAAGCATGCTGATCCACACAGGTATGCACACATGGGTATTCACAGACGCGGACTAAAGCTTTCTTGGCTGCTGCCTCAAAGCACACTGTGCGCTGTCTATCTTGCGTGCTGCACAATATCGTTTATTACTTAGTAAATACTGATATCTATGACTAGCTAGTTTATTGTGATGGTATGGTGCTTTGTTTTCTCTATTATTATGTTGCTCTTTGTTGTTTGCTGTCTCCTCTGTTTGTTTTTGTTTGTTTGTTTGTTTGGTTTTTTTCTCCATACAGGTGACCCAGGAGTTCTTTTTTTTTTTTTTTTCTCTCTCTTCCCCCCCTTCTCACCGTCTCTTCTCCCCTTTGGTTTTCTTTCTTTCTCTCCCCCTCTCTCTCTCATTCATTCCCCTGTCCTATTTATTAAAAAAAAAAAAAAAAAAATGACAAAGGATGAACTGAAGCTCTGCCATCACGTAATGTCGCATACTGCTGTTTCTGATGTCATTTAGAAAAAAAAAAAAAAAAAAAAAAAAGCATGGCACATCTTGATGTGGAAATATTTGCTCACTCTTCTTTGCAAAAAAAACGTCCAAATCGGACAGATTGCGAGGACATCTCCTGTGCACAGCCCTCTTCAGATCAGCCGACAGATGTTGGAATTCAGGTCTGGACTCTGTCCGGTCTCTTCCAAAGCCTCAGCCTTATTCCGGTGAATCCATTCTGTTGTTGTTCTGGATGTGTGCTTTGGGTCATTGCTGTGCTGAAAGATGAAGTTCCTCTTTATCTTCCGCTTTCTAACAGAAGGACGAAGGTTTTGTGCCAACACCAACTGGTAACAGTAGTTCATGTTTAGAAGAAAAGATCCCAGCTCACTGATTTGATCGGGGCAATAGTGCCTAAAATGTTGCAGAATTTTGCTGAGAGATCTTTTACTCTGTGGTCATCTTTCGTGAGTAGTTTTATGGACAAAACCCAGCAGGTCATTCAGTGTTCCCTTAGTGCTGATGTAAAGAGATAGCTTATGTAGGCAAGTATATTTCTCCTTTTATCAAGAAGCAAAGACAAAAAGGGGGGAAAAAGAAACAGGGCAGGGGTCGGTGGTTGAATCATCCGTCCCCACCAATGCCACAACCAAATCTACGCCCTTGCAATCACAGCAGGCTTCTGCCTAAAAGCAGGTGTCGGGTTGATTGACATGAGGAGACTTTGACTTTGAGAGTCACCTGTCAGAGCAGGTGTTGTACACCTGGTCAGGCCTCCAAAGGTGTCTTCATGGCCGCGTAGAGGTCAGAGGAGAAAACGATGCTGAGGATCACACCAGTGGGTCGTGGACAAATCCCAGATGTGATTTTAATCACACGTTTCCTCCTTCTTTGACTTGCAGACGCTGGAAACAGAAAATAAAAGTTTTATCCTTGAAAACTTAAAGAAAGGGGCGGAGTACTGCATAGAGGTGAAGCTCAACACCAGAGAACTAAACCATGAGCCGTCTGCCTGGAAGTGCACCTTCACCACGGCGGTGGACCAGCAGAGAGGTGAGCTGATGTGCAGCCGGTAAGGCGGGCGTTGTTGCTGAATCAGAGCATAATGAGCTGCCACAATTCATCTGCCTCCTTATCTGTGTAAATATGCAGAGGGAGTAATTACTAACACATGCCAGGGCTGCCCCTCTCGCCAGTGGGACTCCTCCCCCAGCCACCTGCTCCACCCATCCCTCCCACAGCACAGCCACAAACCACACCCCTCCGCTGTACTTCGGCTGTACATTTAACGGAGTTAGAAGTTAGCAGGAAGTTAGCTCGCTAGCTTCTATCTAAATACAATATAGCATGTCCTGACTGCGGGGTTTTGGAAACAAATTAAAACGTACAGCTCTGCTATCACTTCCAACATAAATGAAGACAGAAAACTAAACAGCAGTGACGTTTGTAGGGTTACTGAAGTTGGGCTAGCTGGTATATAATGATGTGCTACGTGACCGCTAGCGACACAGCTATGTTAGCATAATATAAACAAGCTAACTTTTTTTCCACTCGATAAAAGTTAACGTGAGTGTTCTCGGTGGTCAGGAACAAATGTAATCGCATGGCAGGATGCTGTAAAAGGACCAAACTTCAGCCAGGAGAACAACTGAGATAATCCATCCACAATACGAGGTTAGTCATTCATATACTGCTGCATGGGCTGGGCTGTAGTTACATCCTAAGGTTTTAAAAACTGAGCTTAAATAAATGATTAGTGGTAATAAAAGCCGAGGGAGGTCAACAGGGATCACTGACTGTTTTAGGAGCTTTTTGAGATTAAATAGAAGGAAATACAAAATATTAAACATGTTAACAACACAAAAGCCATATTAAACGCAGACTACTTTAGACCCGGAAGTAGGATTCGTCGCGTCATCACTGAACAACCGGATAGCAGCGAGACAGGAAGCGGAAGAACTTCAACGTAAGAGCACTGGGTCCTCCTGGCCCACTTAAGAAGAGGGTTGCACACGTTAAGGAGCTGAAACTCCTAAACCCTTCACCCAGTCTGAACGTGGTTACCCTCGATCGAAAGCTGAGAGTCTAACCATCATATCCACGTCTATTATATAACTATAACTGGAATATGACTCAGTAAACAGGTCACAACAAAACTTGTCAGTGTCCATATATATATGGACCTATCTGAACAGATACTGATGCAGGACGACTCCTTCACTCTCCTCCTGAGGAGGTTCATCCGTGAACATTCAACACTGAACAGCTACACACAGAGCAGTAAACTCACCCCGATCACTTTCCAGCTCCTAATCTTTGTGTGGATGGTTTTCTTCTTTTTAGGCAGCCAGATGTTCAGAGTCCAGCTGTGGGTGTCGGTGAAGGTTCAGACGTGTCAGCAGGTGAGATAGCAGATGGAAACGTCATTAAAGCGATGATAAGAGGCGATATGGTAGGCTCTGAGTCTGCTTTTGTTCATATCTGCAGACTCACTGATAGATCACTCTGAGGTGTTAGAGTCTACGGAGAGAGATTCAGTTTTCCTTCAACATAACACAAGATAAGCTAAGATTCTTTTTCAGCAGCTGAAACTAAAACACAACCTAAAGCTGTATAAAGTTCAAATGTCTGACTCAGGCACACAGAGCTCTGTGATGGATCGAAACCTGTACAGGTGTACCCATCTCTCACCCTATGAGACTTGTGATAGGCTCCGCCCACACCATGACCCTGGACTGTAATGAAAATGAACAGACTCTGCTCACCCAGCAGGAGAGGATGCCATCCCATAATAACCACCAGCCTGCTGACATGTTTGAAGCTTTAGCGTCTGTGAAGCCAAAATAAATCCCTCTGTATGAAAATGTGATCCTTAAACAAACTGATCAGAGATCACAGATTTATTCACGTCACTTTTATTTACATCACAACCACAGGCTGAATCGTATCCATCCACTGGATCCTGATCACTGATTCATTGATCTCATTCAATGATTTTAATGACAGCTTCACCTGTAAACGATGAATCAAATCTACAGTATGACAGAGTGGAGTACACAGGAAGCAACAGAACACAGAAACAGCAGCGGTTTTAGATACGGGCGACACGGGCGGTTTGCCCGGGGCGGCATCACGGGCATCGGCAAAAAAAGAAAAAATGCTCCGATAAAAAAAAGCTATGATACCGGACACAGCTACTTCTTCTTCTTCTTCTACGGGGTTTAACGGCAGCTGGCATCCTTGTACATGCAGTGCTGCCATCTTCTGTTTCAGTCCGTTATTACACTCTTAAATCCTGCTACTTATTCCTTTATCCTACTACTAGCTCACAAAAGATTAGATCTTTTGTGATCTTACAAAGCTTCAAACGACGCGTCGACTATTAAATCAGTCGTCGACCATTTTGATAGTCGACTAATCGTGACTAGTCGACTAGTCGACTAATCGTGACTAGTCGACTAATCGTGACTAGTCGACTAATCGTGACTAGTCGTGGCAGCCCTAGTATGCACGCTGTCCTCAACAGCCATACTGAAACTGTCACAGTTCCAACGTCAGTAGGAAACACAGCCAGATAAACTTTTCAGGACAAACGAGACACAAAAGCAATTTTACTGGAAAGCAAAGATTGTTTCAGGACCTACAAGTTTAAAAGATTAAACCAGCAGCTCCAGGGAAGGTGACACAGATGCCTGTGAGAAGAACACCACTAAACCACTTCATACTGGGAGCTGAGGGATCAGGAGCTCATACCCAGGAAAATATGATTTTAACCCCATCCTGCAACAACACAAGTAACAGTGAAGAAAAGAAAACTTTGCATTTTCATCTCATGTTCCAATTACAACTTAGATGTGACAAAATAGGTTTTAAGATCAGGTGTAGAGGTCAGTTTGTTTTATAAATGATTTAGATCATTTCATTACAGATCATGAAACTAAAATAGACTTTGTTTAAGAGAGTGAAGAAGAAACACCCAGTGCATCATGGGAATCCCCCGGCAGCCTACGTCTATTGCAGCATAACTAAGGGAGGATTCAGGGTCACCTGGTCCAGCCCTAACTATATGCTTTAGCAAAGAGGAAAGTTTGAAGCCTAATCTTGAAAGTAGAGATAGTGTCTGTCTCCTGGATCCAAACTGGAAGCTGGTTCCACAGAAGAGGGGCCTGAAAACTGAAGGCTCTGCCTCCATCTTAAAGGAACGAGAGAACAACTCTTTTACTCAGTGTGATTGTTTTTAATGTCGCTCTTAAGGATCTGTTATTGTATATTTTTCAGATGTTTGTATGAAATATTGTATTTGTTTTAAATGTTATGTGTTTATGTGGTACGTGTGTATTTGACGTGATGCCAGGTGTTGTAAAGACTCACCTTTCAGCACACTCACTTCATCACATGCACCTTGTTTCTTTTCCTCACCTTTGATTGGGTGTGGTGTTTGCCCTTGATTGCACTCACCTACAGCTCACTCTTCGCTCACACATGGGGCAGCAGCTGAGGTGAGTTTCTGAGGGGCACCACAGGGGACTGTCCTCTCCCCCTTCCTCTTCACCCTCTACACCACAGACTTCAGCCACTGCACAGAGACCTGCCATCTTCAGAAGTTTTCTGATGACTCTGCGGTGGTTGGATGCATCAGCAGGGATGATGAGACAGAGTACCGGGCTGTGGTCGACTCCTTTGTCACGTGGTGTGAGCAGAATCATCTGCAGCTCAACGTGGCAAAGACCAAGGAACTGATCGTGGACTTCAGGAAGACCAGGAAACACTTGACCCCTGTTTCAATCCAGGGGGTCAGTGTTGACATTGTGGAGGACTATAAATACCTTGGAGTACACATTGACAATAAACTGGACTGGGCTAAAAACACCACAGCACTTTACAGGAAGGGCCAGAGTCGTCTCTATTTTTTGAGGCGACTGAGGTCCTTCAACATCTGCCAGAAAATGCTGAGGATTTTCTATGAGTCTGTGGTGGCCAGTGCGATCCTCTATGCTGTTGCATGCTGGGGGAGCAGGCTGAGGGTCGCAGATGCCAACAGACTTAATAAACTGATCCGTAAGGCCAGCAATGTTGTGGGGATGGAGGTGGACTCCCTCAAGGTGGTGTCGGAGAGGCGGATGCTGTCCAAGATAAAGACAATGTTGGATAACACCTCCCACCCACTCCATGACATGTTGGTCAGTCACAGGAGCTCGTTCAGTGAGAGACTGAGATTACCGAAAAGCACCACTGAACGACACAGGAAATCATTCCTGCCTGTGGCCATCTCCCTGTACAACGCATCCACTTAACACACTGTTTGCTGCTACAACTACACATGTTTCTTTTCCAACTATTTATTTATGAGTGACTTATGTATGTATGTATGTATATATATATATGTATATATTGTACTATTCTTAGTTAGCGTATTGTCTGTTTTGTCTTAATGTTGGTTTAAAATGGAGCACTGTAACAAAAAATAATTTCCCCCAGGGATCAATAAAGTATTCTGATTCTGATTCTGTTGGAGTCTCCTGAGTTCATGTGTTATTTTGAGTTATTGAGTGACTTAAATCACACTTTATTTCCTTTCAGCGTTAGCACTCCATGTGTGTCTTTGCTTACTGATTCTGAGAATAAAAGGAGAACCCTATAAAGGATTGATGACTGCTTATTCTCATTCTAATCAGATGAGCCCGTGATGGCAACGACTTAAAACTCTGAGCCTTTCTTCCTTCATAACACCTGGGCCCTATTTCAGAAAGCCGGTTTAGAAAACTCAGAGTGAAAAACGATACGCAGGGTTGAGTAACCCCGAACTGTCCAACTCGGAATATTCTGTTTCAGAAAGGCTGATAACAAGTAGTTCAGTCAACGCGGAGTTGCTTTAACCCCAAGTTAAGCGCGCGCACGAGGATACATAAAGCCCTGATAAGTGGAGCACAGATTAAGTGAGTCACCATGGAGACGGAGGGAAAGAAGGCGCGGTCAATGTATTTTACAGCGCTTGAGGCCGAAATTCTGATGGCAGCATATGCCGATAACATGCAAATTGCGCGGAAAAAAAGTAACACAGGCTCAGCTGCAAAAGAAAGTGAGCATGCATGGCAAAACATAGCCGACAGAGTCAATGCGTGAGTGTTAATTTAAACATTGATCGAGGGATTTCCACCCATTTAACACGTTATTTTATTATATTTTATTTTTTATTTTATACATTTTATTTTGTGATGTGATGTGAGCGCAGGTGCAACCCAATAGGCCCCAAACGTT